CACACACACACACACACACACACACACACACACACACACACACACACACACACACACACACACACACACACACACACACACACACACACACACACACACACACACACACACACACACACACACACACACACACACATACATACATACATCATCGCGAAAATAGTCAAAACGGATTCAGGGGACCTCAAAACGTAAAAATCCATCGAAAACTCGAGGTCGAAAAAAATCATGATTCCTATACTTTCCTTATATCTGTATACAGATAGGGAAGTAAAAAGGTCTTTAAAATATGTCAATTATTTTATTTTTATTTGTTACAATTACCATAAATGTGCTTTTTACTTTTATTACATATTACAAAGACATAAAGAAACATGAACATTTGTATTACCTAACTTAATAAATTTGAGAAAGTATTTACTTATCCCACTGAAATGCAATAGCTCCTTCTAGGAAAAAGTAATTTATTAACTGGTCTCTTATGTAGGCAGCATTTTTTGTTGTATTGTTGGTTCCTGCCCTATGCAGGGGTTCCAAATTCTGGAAGCCTGCTTCCTGTCTCCATAGTCCATTTGTCATGTTTCCATCGTTATCCTCCTGATCAACATAAGATGGTGGACAATACAGGTGCTTTGATTCAATGGTGTTCATTATAAAATTATGAAGAGATACAGTGGCTTGAATAATTTTTTGTGCAGTATCTAATGAACATATAATTGGCTTTCTAAAAATTCGCCATCTTGCAACAAGAATACCGAAGCAATTTTCAATAACCCTTCTTGTTCTACTTAATCTGTAAAAAAAAAACAAATATAAGTTTGGATCATTTAGGTTCTCAGATATAGTCAAAAGCGTATTTGATGAACAAAAAAAAAGTGTTCTGTGTGCACTTACAGTATACCTACCTACTGTATTATTATTTACCTATAATTGAAGATTCTTTTAGTCTGGGTTAAAAAATGTCCTGGGTATGGGCGCATTATGTTCTTTGTCAAAGGAAATGCTTCATCAGCAACTATAAAGTATGGAAGGTTATCACCACAATCATCAATCTTTTTATCAGGTGGAAAGTTTAATTCATTTCTTTGTATCGCTTTTCCAATCTCTGAGTTCCTAAGCACACCTCCGTCGCTCTGCCTTCCTTGGGCCCCAATGTCTACTAATGTAAATTTGTATTTGTGGTCACATATTGCTAATAAAATTAGACTATTAGATTTCTTGTAATTAAAAAACTGGAATCCAGCTTTTGGTGGGGCCTAAAATAATGAATTAAAATAATAACAGCAATAAAAATGCTTTAATAAAAAATATAAATGGCACAATTGCTTGACTTTGCAACAAACAGCACCTGAATAATAACATGTTTGCCATCTAATGCTCCTAAACAGTTAGGCATATTCCATGTATGAAAAAATCCTTGCGATATTTCTTTCCATTTTTCTTCGTTGGGCAGTTTTAAAACATCATCCTTTAGGTTATTCCAAATTGCTTCACAACATTCGTTGATTATACTAGACACTGTTGAGTTTCCAACTCGAAACGCATAGGATATAGACACCATGCTGTCACCTGACGCTAAATATCTCAATGTTAACGATAGCCTTTCAGCAGGGGAGATAGTTTCTCTACGATAATCATTTTTAGATATTGAGGGACCTATTTTGTGTAAAAGCAATTCAAACTGAGTTGGAGTCATTCTTAGGTAATTAAAATATTTATTTGTATCAGTCAAGCGCATCTCCTTTAACAAATTGTTGAAATCTCCTTGTGCTTTTCTTTGCAAAAAAATGTCCCGTACCCACTTTTTTTTTCTCAGTCGCCTCTTGGCTGGTCTTATACGGTTTTTATTAAAGATATGAATACAAAACATTATATAATAATATCTTCGTAAATAATTGTTGTAATAACAAGCATTCATGACGTTTATTTTCTTTTTATAATAATTGCAATTGCAAACACAAAAAACATTCAAAATTGATAGATCACAATAATAATGACTTATAACAGATGACACTATAAAATCGCAGAAAAGTTGAAATTTCCCGCCGCGAATATTTTTAAATCCAAATGTGACACATTATGTCAAAAATTCGCGAAATTCGCCTAAGTGAGTATGAACCTTAAGAATGAAAAATTAAAATTCTTTTTATTTTAGTTCCTCAATGTATTTGATGGCTTAATAGGCTTAGATATTATTAAAGTATTGCAAGCAAATATATATTTTCAACAAAGATGTATTGTTACCCCATTTGCAAGTATACAATTTTATTATCATGTTGATGCTTTCAATTACTCTAACAATAAAAACATAGTTTCAACTGAACCCAGAACTCAGTAAATAATTAAAATAAAGACCTCTTTACTAAATGGCGATAAAATTATTCCTTATCAAAAAATTAGTAAAGAAGCAGAATGTGTGATTGCAGCAAAAGATGGTTACGTATTAACCACAATTATAAACAGCGATATCAATACAAAAACACTTGATTTATTAAAACCTATTTTGGTAGAAAAATTTGAAGAAAAAGAAATTTCTAATTTAGAAATAATGTCAATTCATTTAATAATAAAATTGTAAATTAAAAAAAGATTAAAACAAACCCTAATACTTTAAAAATAGCATTCTTAGATGTAAACGAAGATGATATTAACAAAATAGTTACACAAAAGTTAGCTAAATCACATCCTAAATTGGATCAAAAAATAAACAAAGTTCAAATATATAAACTAAAGGTTAATTTAAACAACAAAAAGTTTCCTAAAATAATTTCATATATTCAAAAAGAATATGCACGAAATAAAATTAAAAATAGAATGAAAAGCCAAGAAATTATAAATGTAATAGAAAAACAATAAAATTTAAAAAATATTCAAACTTCAATAGAAAAAAAAAACAAGATTCAAAAACTATTTTTACTCTAACAGAAATAAAATTACACAAAAATTTAGACGAACCAGAAGGAAACGAAAATTTTAAATTTCAAAATAAAAACTCCAATTTTAATGACAATTCCATTCGTAGACTATGCAGTAAGTTATGGTAAAAATGTAACCAAAACAAGAGCTCGCCCCTCAGCTCTCTCAAAACATTTAGTAGCTTTAAGAAGTAATTTTAAAATAGTACATATTGATACCTTTACTGAAAAAAAAAAAAACAAAAATTAAAAAATTTAAAATAAAAATTATTGACAGTAACTGATTTTTCTAAATATGAAGCATATTATTTTGATTAAAATAAATATGTTGTACAAAATAAATTGTACTATGCTTATTCGAGTAACTCCTGCACCAAGATGTCCAGCCAAAATTACATTTGTGACCCAACCAGTCTCAGAAAAGTAAACAGCTCTTGCGAGATCCAACTTATAAACTACGAAACCACCTTCACTTGCCCACAAGTATCCATAGCCGTACCACACCCTTCTTTCACGAGGTTAGAACAAACGAATCAACGGATTTTGGTCCTACCCAAAGAAATTACGCTAACCCTTAAATGTAATTCGCAAGAAGAAATAATTAAGCTGTTTGGAACCTTCCTAGCAGTGATTCCCACAAATTGTCAAATTATAACTGAATAAAAAACCATTGTTAATGCTGAGTCAAATTCATTCGAGAATCAACCAATTCTATTTCCCAAAATGGACGACCAAATTGCCGAAAAAGAATGGTCCACTTCCAATGTCAAATTGCAACCCATCAATCTAGATGACCTTTAAACTCTACGAGAAAACATAATTCAAAATCAACCAAATTTCGAATCCAAAACCATTCCATATGTACCAAGCTTGTGGACTATTATTATTTATATTATATTAGTTGTCGTCCTTATCTTCTGGCTATTTAAAAGATGGAAAAAACTTAAAGAAAATCCAGACGGGACAGAAGAAAGTTTCAACCTACAAGATGTCCATCTTCCTCATTAGCCCTCGGAACCTGAATCTTCAGGAGGAGGAGTTATATCACCCATACTAATGGAGAATATATAAAATATACGATTTTGCATAGTTAGTATTTTAGAATAGTTTGTTTATATAAAAGTAGTTTATTCGGTTCCTAGCTAGTTAGCATTCAAAGCAATAACATCTATATTTATTGTATTTTAAGTAAAAATAAAACTTTTTAAAAAAATCATTTTCGGTTCAAGATTTCATTTCTCACGGAAAACAATTTAGCTCAAATTTTGTCATTAATGCTAATAGAAAACAGAAAAGGAAAAGAAATGATTGAGAGGTTAATCACACAAGGTACAGCAAATGTGAACAAGTGAATCGATAAAATATGCAGCATAAAACTACTTACAAGTGAATCGATAAAATATGCAGCATAAAACTACTTCACAATTGGTCAGATGCATTCGCTATTGTAATAGGTCAAATTTAACTGGAGATGCTTATAATTGGTGGTTAACTAGACAATATAGAGTAAATACATTCAAAGATTTTGAAGAAGCTTTCCGAAAATATTTTACACACACAGAAGGGCTTGTTACTAAATGGAAAATAATATCAGAGAGGTGAAACTATGAATGACTATTTGTATACAAAACTATTGCTTTGTGAACAACTCGACTGACAGACATAATTGTCATTGCAAATATAGATATGTTTGAAAAATAGCGGTATGAAAGACGTACCGTTACAACAACTAAACTTATCTTTCATTGAAACAAAAGAGAAAATATTAAACTCGTAAGAGCAAGAACTCGTAATAGCAAGAACTAACTGGATTCGCTCTAAAAAGCTTCCATATACTTTGGAAGAAAACAAGAAAATATAATCTTTGTGAATAAGTTTATTTCGACTTTACACTTGAAATTTCGACTTTAAACTCGAAATTTCCAGTCAAAACACAGAATAGCAAGAACGAGTAACTATAGTCACTCTTAAAAGCTTCCATATACTTAAGACGATGCATAGAAAATATCCTTTTCGTGCCAAGGTTATTTTCCGCCTATCATAGAAGGTTAAGGTAAGGAACTAGGTGGGAACAAACAGGTAAATATGAATGAGGTACCAAATACAGTAGCAGAGGAAAATCCTGTACACATAAAGATCGAAAAAATAGAGAGCGTAAGTATGAAAAATTGTATGAGAAATGTCAGATCAGAGCAAAGATACAAAGGAATAGTACAAGGTACCTTAAAAGGATTATTGAAAGAATAAGAAAAAGGAAGAAGTTCAAAAAGGGCGGTGAGAAATAATCTGTAAGGTATTTATGCGGTACTTTTTTAATGTTTTGTTTTTATGCAGTTACCTCCATATCAATATATTTATGCCTGCGACAAATCATTGCCACCTGTCGTTATTTCGTTTGTGACCTATTTTAAAGAATTTTTTGTATCTGTATTGTCATGTATGTTTTATGTAAGTTGGCACTCACTGTGAATTGGGCGAGTATTGATACGACGCACATTTATGTTATGGGACTTAGTTCGGTCAATGAGGACACCCGACCAAACCAAGGCCAGCCAGCCGAGCCAAATTAGCTCAAGTCAGCTGCTATTAAGCGCTTTCCTTTTACAAATTTACTTAGTTAGTTTGACTTACATGTGACGTCAGTCAGATATTTTACTAAGTAATTTTATCCCAGAAAATTATAATCAAAAGGAACGGTCTTTTAAGTAAATTACCTTACTTGTATTATTTTGACAGAAGACAGAACCAGAGAGAAGTGTTGCTTTCCTTTTACCAGAATACTTAGGAAATCTTACTTAGATCGATGTGACCTTGATATTATGCACGTTCCATTTGTAAGTACTAAGTAAAGCAAACTAAGAATTTTTACTCTCCCCTTCCCCCTAATAAGGTTCCTTTCGACCATGCTAAGAAATAAGATTTTTATCTAAGTTAGAAGGGGAGTAAACAAGTTGATGTTTTATGTCACAGATCATAATGTTTTTATGGTCGTTTTGTTGGTTATGGCGTTGATTGAGGTTATGCGTAGTTATTATTATTTATTTATGATCTGTGTTATTTAAATTTCTATTACGAAAAGTTCCTGTTCTTATTAAAAGATTTAGGTATGTATTTAAAAAAAAATAACTATAAGCATTATATATTTTTTTAAATTTTAGCCAACGAATCTATTTTAAGTGTTCCGCAAAAATTAATTACTTATAACGCGGAAAATAAGCCAATGTTTGCAGAATATAAATTAGTTTTAAAAGTAGTGAATGTGGATGAAGAGCAAAATGATGAAATAGAGATCACAGAAGAGGCAACCCAAATCGAGGATAACTCAATGTCTTCAGCTCCACCTGAAATATATCATCATGGTGTTAAAGCACAATGGACGCACAATGAAACATTGGCTTTAATAAATTCGGTGGAAACGCATTATGAAGATATGCATCACTCCAAAAAGAGGAAAACTTTTTGGGATGTTGTTTCGAATGAAATGATATCCAATAATTTTGAGGTAAATATTTTCATATTTAAAATTATACAGGGTCTTTACAAACCTTATATAGAATGCCAATGAATTCAATGAATGAGACCAATAAGATTAACATTACACTAAAAAATATCAGATTACTTTATTACTTAATGACTCAAAATATTATGTTTACGTTGTGGTGACACAAATAATGATTTAGTTAACCAGTTAATTTATAAAAATAAAACAAAAATGCAGTGTGCAGTAATAAAAAATTTAGTATATATACGGAGTGGCCCAAAAGTCTTAAAAGGGCCAAATATCTCGTAAATTACTAGTCCTAATTGTACAAAATTTGGGGTACACCTATTAGGGGATATGGAGATTCCAGATTTGATATCTGCAATGTTGCCAGATTTCCAGTTTCTCTTATATTATTAGTCACTTTGGTTTTTCAAATTCATCACCCTGTATATTCAGCCATTATTGAAATCTCCTATTTAATACGAGTTCAAACATATGATTTTATTTAGTCTAGATGCTCTTAAATAAATAAAACAGAAGTCTGGCAACGCCAAATTGTCGTAAGGAAAAAGGATGGCAAACACCGATTCTGTATTGACTTCCGTAAGGTTAATGAAGTCACAATGAAGGATGCCTACCCTCTGCCGTATATGAATGCCATTTTAGACAAGCTTCGTACCGCAAAGTATATTTCAAGTCTTGATTTGAAGAGTGGTTATTGACAGGTACCACTATCGTCCTGAAGTAAACCGATAACCGCATTCACTGTGCCAGGAAGGGGACTCTTCCAATTTCGAGTCATGCCTTTCGGCCTTCACTCAGCTCCAGCTACCTTTCAAAGACTAATAGACCGAATTATTGGACCTGAGATGGACCCGCATGCTTTCGCCTACCTGGATGTCATCATCATTCTAGGTGAAACTTTTGAAGATCACCTAGCTAATTTAAGAGAAGTCTTCCGACGCCTAAGAGAGGCAAAACTCACCGACCACCAATCACTGAAATGGTTGCATTCAATTGTGAGTCCGTCCGGCCGTCTTGCACGATGGAGCATCTTCTTGCAACAGTACGATTTTGACATCAAATACCGAAAAGGGGCGCTAAACCGAATAGCTGATGCATTATCCAGAAATCCGTTGCCAGAAATTCAGACTATGTCAGACACACCAGATGTGTGCGCCGTGGATGAAGATACCAAGTGCAAATGTTATTCATCTAAGAAAGCCGAGGTTGAAAGGAACCCTACCGATTATCCAGATTTTGCATCAAAGAAAACCGCCTATATCGTCATTTTTGGGATATAAATGATTACAAAGAACCAGAGTTGTCCGATCCGTGGAAGTTATGCATACCAAAACCGCAAAGAGACCGCGTTCTGAAAGAAAACCATGATGCGCCGACCGCTGGCCATGCCGGAATCGCCAAAACTATTACCCGGATAGCTAGAGAATATTATTGGCCTGGAATGTTCCGAGACATTACTAAGTATGTTCGAACGCCGGGGAAGATGAACCCATCACCGAATAGTCAACCATGGGAAGTTGTTAGCACAGATCTTGTTGGACCGCTACCCCGGAGCAAAAGGGGTAATGCATATATCGTCATGTTCATGGACAGATTTACCAAGTGGGTGTAATGTAAGGATATTCGAACTGCCACCACAAAGAACGTGAGCACCGTTTTCTATGACGACATCGTCACAACTTTTGGATGTCCAATAGAAGTCATAACTGATAATGGCACACAATATACATGCAAACTCTTTGATTCCGTTCTAAAAGAGTTAGGAATCCGCCATCGATGTACACCTCGGCTTACACACCGCAAGCTAACCCCGTAGAACAAGCAAACCGAACCATAAAAACCATGATAGCACAATTTTGCGAGGACAATCATCAAGATTGGGATCTCCATTTATCCGATTTAAAGTTTGCAATCAACACATCCCGTCACGAATCAATTGGTTTTTCTCCAGCATTCTTAAATTTTGGGAGGGATTTAGTCATCCCCAAATCCCTACGACAAGAAATTGAGACCAGTAACCAATCCGCCGAAGCCGAACCGCTTGATGCGGAAAGTCCAGAAAATTTTGTCAAGAGACTAGGAAAACTCAAAGAGTGTTTTGACCTAGCCCGCCTCAACCTGTCCCGAGCTTTTACCTCGCAGGCTCATTACTACAATCTGCGTCGACGAGACTGGAGGTGCACTATTGGTGATCTAGTGATGAAGCGCGAACATACGTTGTCATCAGCCGTAGATCATGTGGCTGCAAAATTAGCTCCGAAATACTCCGGTCCGTACACCGTTGTCAAAGTCGTGTCTCCCGTCGTCTACAACCTCAAAGATGCTGCAGGAAAAAGACTCAATCAGGTGCACATAAAAGATCTAAAACCGGCCGTCCAGTCAGCTTAGTTGTTTCTGTTACAGTTATGAATTCCCCAGTCGAGAAAAATCGAAAACCGATTCCGAAACAAGAACCAAAGAAGAGACGAGCGGACGAGTTCTTCCAGCTCGTCTCGGCAGAACGCCTGAGACCTGATCCGAGGGATCTACGTTCCAATCACCCCACTCCGATCCAGTCGAACTCAGACTTCGCTGGATCCCCGCCGTCATTGCCGGTCGAACTCCCGATTCCCCTCTGGGGTCAGACCCTACTGTCCGCCGCCCCTCCTAAGTCACCCAAGGTGACTATTTTACAGGACATGGTCCTGTCCTCGGGGAAACCAAGGTTTCCCCAGGCCCCTTCCTCCGGAGCATCAGCACCCATGCCTTCGAAACATTCTTCCCGACAGTCGTTGCCCGTCTCGATTCCCGTTTCCGAGATTCTACTCCCCGAGCAGTGCTACTTGCCGGATGACACCATTGACCATTTGAGGTCCGACGCTGGAGTCGCCCTTCAGGGCTATGAACCTGCAACCCATTCCTCCGTTTTTGCCGCCCCGCCTTGTCTCCCCAGTGATCCGATGGACTCCTTACGGCGTGAACTGGTCGTGACTGCCGCCCACCGACCTATCTCCCCCACTCTGCTCAGACGAGCCCAATTACTCAGACCACCTTCTTGTGACCCCCACCTGTGTTTCAGACTAATTATCCGCCATGATTCCGGGTGAGTCAGAATATATCTGCCCCCCTACATTCCGTAAATCGTCCCCGACTGGACTTTAGGTCTGAGTATTCAAGTTAATCTCAAACCCCGGTGGTGGATCCCTCGGATTCCAAGAACCAGGTCTTCTTTTTCGTTTGGGCCGCCGCCCGTGGCCCAATCACACTACTGTTAGAGAATTGGAAATTCCCGCCGCCCTCGTAAGCCGAGAATACCGACCAAAGTGATAACCGATGATATTGTTTTCAGCATGAGTGTCCCGAGCCGTCCACCGATGGTACTTAACGAGGGGGAATTTTACACGGAATACCAAGAGAGGGATGGAGATCCCGTACACCTATTATTCTGGCGAACCTCCCTGCCAGCCCCGGAGTTGAACGTAGAGGAAACAAACATTGCAAGCCGTCAGACTTCGTCCACGCCGGATCCCGAACCCCGTCCGTCAATCCCGACGTACCTCGTCGTACGCCCCGATACCTGTTGGCGGTGCGGTAGCACTGGCCACCGACGAGAGGGCTGTGTCCTCCCCTCTATCCTCTTTTGTTCCCGTTGTGGGCGAGTCGGGATGTTGTCCCGACTTTGTACCTGCCCAGCCAGTCGTCACTGATAGTGCCGTTGCGCCCCTTTACATTAGTCATCCGTTTTCTTCGTAGTCGTTAAGTCCTCCCACCGAAGCTACCCGAAAGATTTGGGATACATCCGATTACCGACCGCATATTCCGATGGTGTTACGCCAATCTCATTTGACTGTTGTGTTTCAGAAACATGGATTCGGATAGCTCTTTTGATGTCATAAGCCTCTCTGGTTCCGTCCTTTCCGAGGAGGCCCCTCTTTCCGAAGAGGATCTCGACCCCAGTGTCGAAACCCAAAAGGTATCGACCTCAGCTATCATTGCCGATTTCACTATTCCTTTCCCCGAAGTTGCTGATCAACTTACCGACCCGTTTATCGGGAGCCCATCTTCTAAAGTCGCGCATTCTGGTCCTCCATCTTCCGAGGAGCCTGTGGAAAAAAAAGGACGACCTACTGAAGTTGAGATTCACCTGCCAGCAAGCCGAGACTTGTGTTGGAGATGTGGGTACCCCGGTCACCATAGAACTACTTGCGACCGCAAGAAGATTTTGTTTTGCTCCCGTTGTGGCCTAGTGGGAACCATGTCCCGAGACTGTTCTTGTGTGTCGACACCAACCTCACCCACCGTCACCGCCCCGGTGCCGTCTGGAAGGTACCGATCGATTGGAGTACAGGTAGACCTACGTCCACGACGCCGTAATGTCGGCCTTCAATGTTTTCGACAATGGTAGTTCCGAGTCCGAAGATATGATATGGTATGGTTTTGGACTCCGGAACAGAAGAGAGAAAATTATATTTTGAGTTTGTAAATTTTATTAATAGTTTTGTAATAATTAGGTAGGCGGATAAAGGAAAAATAAAGGCAAACGATGTTCACCTTTATTTTTCGTTCCGAAGTGAGGGGGGATGTAATGAAGTCAATTTCCCTCAATCAATTTATTTTCATTTTTCATTTTTAATAAATTTTTAACGCGATTGAACTGTCGATCCTCAGCTAATTTTCAGATGCGCGAACGCCACTCGAAGTCTCGATGCGCGGTGGGTCTGAACGTAAGTGGGATTGCTATTGGGAGAGGGAATCTACAGTGGGTAAACGAGACCCGAGATGCGATTAAAATTATCAGTTCGATATAATTTTTGGTTGCCAGCAGTTGACTCTAATAAGCCGTATTAGAAATCAAATCACCGTCGATATTTTTTCCCTTTTCCGAGTATTTACAAATCCGTTAGGTAAAAAACCTTGTTCCGCTTTTTACGTTGGATATTGACTCCGTATATCATTTTAAAAACCGAATTGACTTATAGGAATAGGAATATTTTTATTGATAGTGTTTAGTTAAAAGATTTAATTTGATTTCTTTAATAAATAATAGAATTTGTTTCTTTATTTTTATTTTATAGATAGTGTTTAGTTAAAAGAATTAATTTGATTGAAATAATAAAGAATAGAATTTGTTTCTTAGCAAATGATAACGTTTCATTTGTTTTTATAAATAGGGTTTAGTTAAAAGAATTAATTTGATTTAAATAATAAATAATAGAATTTGTTACTTAGCAAATGATACCGTTTCTTTTGTTTTTATAAATAGGGTTTAGTTAAAAGATTGAAGTTGATATAACTAATAAATATTAGAAATTGTTTCTTGGTAAAATATTACCGTTTTTTTATAGTTTGAGCTTTTGTAGGGATAATCACAGATATAGAGTATGCTAGACTCACTTGTAGGTTAGCACATGTTACTGGAAGAGCTTCACGACTCCAGTGCAGTACTCAAGCACAGGAAAAGGTAAAAAAGTTTCTTTTACAAGAAATTTATTCAATAGAGGGTGATCTTGACCTTAAAGTACATATATCTGCTCCAGGGGCACATTCAACCCCTATTCAAAATCAAAATTTTCCATTTACAAAATCAGTACCTATTCATAAATGGGGTATTTTCTTTACGGGTTCTGATGAACGAGACTCAGTAGTAAGTTTTCTAGAGAAAGTAGAGTGTATGCGTGCTGCTCGAGGAGTAAGTGATGTAGAATTGTTTTCAAGTGCTGCAGATCTTTTTAAACACAATGCCTTTACTTGGTACCTTAACAATAAGGGGAAGTTTGTCTCTTGGGTCGAATTAGTAAACAGGTTAAAAGCAGATTTCTTACCGTATAATTACCAAGATGATCTCTTGGAGGAAATTAAAAATCGCAGACAATATCCAGACGAAAAAATTGCCATTTTTGTTAATATTATGATGGGTTTATTTAATCGATTAGAAGTTAAGCCTGATGAGAAAACAATCATTAGAATCATAAGGCGAAATTTACTACCACCTTTTTCACAACCCTTAGCATTAATAGATATTGATTCAGTAGATAGCTTATGTGAAAAGTGTAAGAGGATTGAAGAATCCTTACAGTGGAACCAGGGGTGCAGTTCAAATAGTGGGGTAAAGTCACGAACATATCTCGAACCAGATTTAAGTGTTCCCAGGGGTGTCAAATCCAAGAAATTTTAATAAAAATTATAAAAACACTTCAGTAGTGTCATATAATATTGTTTGCTGGAATTGCCATCAAAGTGGTCATAAATTTAATCAATGTAAATTACCTAGGAAATTTTTTTGTTACGGTTGTGGTCAAGTAGGAACAACTAAATTTAGGTGTAAATTTTGTTCAAAAAATGGGTATGCGAGCGGAGCTACGAAATACTTCCCTCCTCCAGTTACCGCTCGACAACAAGCAAATGAGAAAAGTTTAGAAAAAAAGGGCAAGACCAGTTCAAACCCTCAGAGTACCGAAAACCCACATACCAGTCAGTAACCTTTGTAAATAAAAATAATTCAACCATATCATCTTTTAATTCAAATGTTAAAAATAGTTTATATAAACTGCCCGCCACTAAAGTTGTGCAAAAATTTAATAAAGTAGACTGGGAGGTTTGGTTGAATAAAGTAAAACTTTTTTATAAAATTGGTAAAATTTCAGACATAGGTTCACTTTTGTATAAAAAAAATAAAGATAATAGGCCATATTTGGATGTTCAGATTTTTGACAGGAAATTTCAGGGATTATTAGACACTGGTTCGAATATTTCCTTATTAGGTTCTATCGGGATAGAACACCTTCATGATAAACACTATAACATGAACTTGGACGGATCACTCAGGGTAACAACGGCTGATGGGCAACTACAGGAAGTTCTAGGTTTTATAGAAACTGTAATTACAGTTAATAATATTTCTAAAATTATTAAAATATTCCTTATACCTTCAGTGAAACATAATTTGATTTTGGGAATGGATTTTCTAAAACTTTTTAATGTGAATTTTGACTTTTCTGCTTTTTCTTTAAAAATATGTTCTATTAATTTAGCTGCAGTCAACAAAATTTTAGATTTGTCAAATTTAACTTCAGATCAACAATGTAAATTACAAAAAGTTATTAATAATTTCAGAGAAATTGATCCTTCAGACAAAATAGGAAGAACTCATGTTTTAGAACATTATATTGATACAGGAAATAGTTTGTCTTTCAAGCAAAAACAATACACATTGCCTCAAGCAATGCATGAACATTTAGTAAAAGAAGTTGATGAGATGCTTAAATTAGGGATTATTCGCGAAAGTAGTAGCTCGTATTCTAGTCCACTTTGGCTGGTAAAGAAAAGTAATGGCACATATAGAATTTGTTTCGATGGTCGTAAATTGAACAGTGTAACTGTAAACAAAGATGCCTATCCCTTACCTTTAATTGATACGATTTTAAGTACATTTCTTCGACCGATCTTAAACAGGCATTTTACCAAATCCCGTTGGAAAAATCATCGTGTGAAAAAACTGCATTTGCTGTGAGAGGTAAAGGATTATACGAGTATGTCACTATGCCTTTTGGGTTGGTCAGCGCTCCACAAACTATGTGTAGGTTAATGGATATAATAATAGGGCCCTCCTTAGAACCATTTTCTTTTTACTATTTGGACGAGTTAATTATTTGTACACCTGATTTTGAGACACATATTGATACCTTAAATAAGGTTTTTGAGAAGCTGAAAGATGCTAATCTTACTGGTAATTTAGAAAAATGTCAATTTTGCCGTCCATCTTTAAAGTATTTGGGTTATTTAGTGGATGAGCATGGTTTAAGGACAGATCCTGGGAAAGTATCTGCAATTTGTGAATTTCCAACTCCAAAAACCGCGACACAGGTTCGTCGTTTGTTGGGGATGATTGGGTATTATCGTAGGTTTTTGAAAGATTTTTCATCTTTAGCATCTCATATAACAGATTTGTTGAAAGATAGGAAGAAGGGACGAACAATCACTTGGACAAGTGAAGCTGAAATGGCCTTTGAGTAAATCAAAACAGCTTTGACCACTGCTCCAGTGTTCACGAAGGAATTTTTCCTTATGACAGACGCCAGTGATGTAGGCGCAGGTTATGTACTCTTCCAGGTGGAAGATGGGTTAGAACACCCTATCGCATATGGTAGTAATAAATTTAACAATTGTCAACGTAAGTACTCTACTACTGAGAAAGAGTTGTTAGCAGTTCTGTTTGGAATAGATCATTTTCGTTATTATTTGGAAGGTAGACAATTTACTGTTTTTTCTGATCATTCATCCTTAGTGTGGTTAAATAATATGAAAAATCCCTCTGCTCGATTGGCGAGGTGGATTCTTCAGCTGTCACAGTATAACTTTTCAATCATACATCGAAAGGCAGCAGGT